GGTTTTAAATTCACGGTTTCGTCATTTAGATAATGTGTTCTATGCTAAATTTTACATATTCACTGTGTTTTAATTTAGCGCATTTTTCCAGTCAGCGAAATAAGCTAAATTAAAACCCAGTGAATAATTACCCCCTTTACAGTAGTTTCAAGAAGTAAACCTTAAGCTCAAGTGAGAACAATTTTCCAAATGTTACTTAACATGTGATGTATGAATATAGGCGGTCTAGTAGTTTCAGAGAAGTCAAACACAAAGACACAATATGAGAAAATCACTAAAAAGGATACGGTAGTCTTAGTACCCATAATGCATTGGTAGGAAGCACTATGCCATCATCACCAACACCAGTGTTATATATTGGTGCTGTCACTGATCCAGGTTGTACACGGGGATTCAACCGGATATGCACCGGACCATCCGGACACACAATGAACACTCGCATGAGTTGTGCTCTGTGACTTTTAGCAGAGCTGAAAAAAACGATTTTATTATTTTTTTCTGTGCTCATTTGTTAAAAAATGATAAGCAAGAGACTGATTCTTTGGATGCTGGGTAACCAGGTGACACATTATCAACATGGGACATGAATGCATAGTAAATAGCTTTCAAATTTCAAAATATAACAACAAATATGCAGTACAGCACTGATTTGAATAATTACCACCTCATGAATATGCAATTGATTCAAACAAATGAACAGTACATATTGTACTTTAATACTGTAGAATACTTTATTTTCGCTTGCAATATATTTTAGTTGAAGGGATGCTTCAGTGAAAATAAAATCCAGTGAATATACTTTTTTTCCTATATTTCACATTCAACTCATCAAAATTTAGTGAAAATAAATTTCAAACAAAACCCACCTTTTCAGCGAAAATTAATTCCAGCTAAAATAAAGTATTCTACAGTAACTAGAATAGCAACAAGCATTGAAATAATTTTGCAATATCTCTGTCCAGTAGTGAGTTTCCCTGGCATTTATGACAAATAACTGAAAACCCTAGCAATGAAGTAATGCGTATGTGGTCGAAAAAATCTTTATTGTCATCACAGGTCAGCATTTGATCCATTTCATGAGATGAACAGTGTTCTATAAAAATATCAGTTCTATTCTTAGTCAAATCAACAAAAGCTTATGCATAGCAACACTAATGCATGCATGACAACAGTAACCAGGCAACTTAAAACTTGCTTAACGACTGTTAAATGTTATTATTCCTAACAACCATAACATACCGACACGGACAAGGAAAGTAGAGAGGCATATCCATGGTAACAAGTCTGTTTGCTGTATCCTTAATATTGCTGGAACCTGTAACTTTTAACATTTTATCCGGACCTGAACAAATGAATCTGACACCGCGAGGACATTCGTATTCGTCACCGATATACGCCCTGACGTGAGAATCATGGCTGGTATCTGTGGAGATGAAACATACACGCAGAAATCATTACGCACAGGAAATACAGAAGCAAAAACATTTCTATATTTAAAGTCTATCAGCAAGGTACAAAAACTACTAAATCATTTTTATTACTTGTGAAATACTAGCCAACCTGTTCCCACTATTACATGTACTGTATTAATCCAAATGTTCCTCATAGAATATTTATGACACAACATATAAAATTGGTAAAGGTACTTTATTTGGCAAACAACAGGGGAGCCCGCTGCGAAATTATATTTCTCAATTAATACTCCATGTACTGCATCGAGGATCTAATCGACGCATGTCATACCACATCTTCTAGCAAACCAGGCAACAAACCTGTTGCAAACAGTTCTTTGTAGCCTAATCTTTCCAATGCCAACTTAATGATACAGCTAATTTATTACATTGCAAAACAATGAACAATAGAAGTGTC